AGATAGTGAGGGCACAGTCAGATCGGATAAAAACTGGTGAACTCAAACAAAAACCTGTTAAAAGTGTCGCTTTTGGTGTGCGATCTCTTTAATTGTATGAAATTAAAGAACACAACTCTATATATCAAGTGTTAGGGCTATAAGACTAATACTATGGCAATGCCAGCAATAAGCCAGAAGTGCATCACATGATAGCATCTCTTTTATTTGCTTCTAAGAACTCAAACAAACTAACTGTTCATACAATCCTCTCTCTCTCTCTCTCTCTCTCTCTCCCTCTCTCTCTCCTATTTTAACATTTATAAAATATATTCTATTTTGCGTTTTTCTATATCTAAGTAGAGATTAATGTATTTCCAATTTATAGCATTACTTCACTTAAGCCAGAGGTGGGATATTTCATATGCAATCTTACGTTTTATGAAACATTTGGGTTCACTCCCAAGAGAATCAATGTTGTGCACCGATAGCAAGAATTTTGTAACCGACCTAAAAGTATAATAAATACAAAATTAATAAGTTATTATAAAATTACACAAAAATACATAAATTATAGGCTATAATTGTGTAATACGATATACATATTGGAAACTAATGAAATATTTGTATGTTTTAAGTCTAGACTCTATAAATGTATAGAAATAATAAGCAAACGAACAAAATGAAAACATTAGTAGAAATGAAAACTCAGATATAATAATAGGTCTGTTGGCGAGTGTATGGAAACATTTACGTTCATTAAAAGTACAGCTGTTTATAAATTAATGTGATTGGTTGTGCTATTAATTTGCATAAATTTATATTTCACTCCAAACTAATTGGTTATGTATCAGGACTGTAGTAATCATATTGTTGTGAGGGGTTGATGACAAAGTTGTTACATAGAGTGCTCAGTACTGCCAGTTGTATAAGTAATTAAGACATCGCTAATAAAAAACGAAATAAATTACACGAAAAACAATCTCTAATATACATGTACTGTATTTTAATATTCATGTAATAACGCTATTAATGAATGCAATAAATTTAATGATCGAAACGGTGTATAATATATTTTGAATACAATTTCATGAGACCAATGAGAAAATGAATGCAAAGTAAATGAGAGTGTGTTTGTGATCAGTAATAGTAATATTGGTTGGGCTTCATTGACGATTGTGTATTGGATGGCATTCATCTGCAATATTGATTTTTGGGAACAACTCATGTGTCGGATTTCATTTCTTTAAAAAAGCCAGAAAAGAGGCATTCAATGCATTTCTATACAAAACTGTATATAACTATGCCTTCAATACTGTCCAGAAAGAGAGTGTATGAGATATATGGCATTAACGGCCAATTATTGATCGCCAGCGCACACATGTCCAAACATAACAGCCCATCGAACTAAGCAATGCATCCCTCTATTCTACTTTTTAAAGTCTCTCTCTCTCTCTCTCTCTCTCTCTCTCCCTTTAATACAACTGATTCTGATTCTGATCCACGAGACACAGAGAGACAGCACAAAACGTAATTTAAAATTATATATATATACATATAATATATATATATGATAGTTGTGTGCATTCGACACAAAATTTGTTTGTTTGGTTGTTTTTATATAACACTAGTAACGTAAACAAAGTAATCAGATTTAATTGAGTTATTTACTAATAGTATGTGGAAATAGTATGAGGGTAACATTTATGTTATACATCTCTCTCTCTCTCTCTCTCTCTCTCCGCATCTCTCATAGCTATGTATAAGCAATGCAGTGATGGTGTGATGCGATGGCTAAAGTTTTTAGCAAGTTTTGCATTCTCTAAATTGGCTGCTTTACTGCAGTGCCTGCACTGGTAGAGCACTGGTAGCTGTACTGCTCAATGAGATAAATGTATTTGCAGTCTCTCTGAGAGTACGACAATTCGGTCGTGAATTTAGGGAAGAAAACAGTCGACTTCTCATCCAAATTGATTCAAATATAATATAATATATAAGTCTATATTTTGCATTCAACTAATTCAACAAAAATTTACATAAATTTCAATCATTTCTCACACATACAAATAGAGCTCGCAAATAGCAATAATAATAATCTAAATTTTGTGTACTAAGTATTGGCATTAGTATTAGTTTCTTCATTTCAATTCATACTTTGTGTCCGTTTGTCAAGAAATGATGCCTTTGGGTATCATTTAAAGGAATGAACGCAAGCAGTCATTCAGTCATTTGGTTTTTTACCAATTTTTATACATGGATTATAAAAACAACCAAACCTTCTCTCATTTCACTTCTATACCAAACTCGAGTCCACATTCTCTCTCTCTCTCTCTCTCTCTCTCTCTCTCTCTTTCTCTCTCTCCGCATCTCTCACAGCTATGTATAAGCAATGCAGTGATGGTGTGATGCGAGGGCTAAAGTTTTTAGCAAGTTTTGCATTCTCTAAATTGGCTGCTTTACTGCAGTGCCTGCACTGGTAGCCTGCACTGGTAGAGCACTGGTAGCTGTACTGCTCAATGAGATAAATGTATTTGCAGTCTCTCTGAGAGTACGACAATTCGGTCGTGAATTTAGGGAAGAAAACAGTCGACTTCTCATCCAAATTGTTAATCTACATTTTGTGTACTAAGTATTGGCATTAGTATTAGTTTCTTCATTTCACTTCTATACCAAACTCGAGTCCACATTCTCTCTCTCTCTCTCTCTCTCTCTCTCTCTCTCGCATCCCATCCCTCACAATATCCCACGAGATCTGCAAAAAACTAAAGCTTAAAACCATTGGGCCATTAATTTAAAGTTTCTAAAGAATATTTTTAAAGGAGGAATTTAGTGATGCAGGCATTCAGGGAATGGAATATTGGTTCTGGTATTGTAGGCAATGGTGTGTATGGTATTCAAAGCCAAAATGTCGCTAATAATAGAGAGTCCAATATTTGGCGCTGTTTTGAACAAAGATTTTGCCAAAATAAAGACTTGTCTGTCATTTACACTTCCATCCCTCACAATATCCCACGAGATCTGCAAAAAACTAAAGCTTAAAACCATTGGGCCATTAATTTAAAGTTTCTAAAGAATATTTTTAAAGGAGGAATTTAGTGATGCAGGCATTCAGGGAATGGTATTGTAGGCAATGGTGTGTATGGTATTCAAAGCCAAAATGTCGCTAATAATAGAGAGTCCAATATTTGGCGCTGTTTTGAACAAAGATTTTGCCAAAATAAAGACTTGTCTGTCATTTACACTTTGGTATTGTAGGCAATGGTGTGTATGGTATTCAAAGCCAAAATGTCGCTAATAATAGAGAGTCCAATATTTGGCGCTGTTTTGAACAAAGATTTTGCCAAAATAAAGACTTGTCTGTCATTTACACTGTAGTCGTGAGGAAAATGTATATAATATTATATAATATTTTTGTCAGATATGTTACGAGCGCTATATATTGCGCCCATATTTCTGTGCTTTTCTCTTATTATTCGACTTTTTCTCTAAATTGAATGAATTATTTTGAAAATTGATATTCAGCCGTCATTTTTTCAATTTTGAATTTAAATTTTTATCAAAAATTGAATTAGTTTTTAGTGATTCTATAGAGTAGTTATGATTGCATTCCAGTCCTTGTAGTAGATTTTGAACGCAAAGATCGGATTCTTTGATTGACTACTTTAGTCGTGAATATAATTTCAGTCTATCTCTCGAAATAACAATTTATTAATTTTTTTCAGAACATTTCAGATCCTATAAGTAATCGTGAAATGCTTTTTATTTTGATAAGAGTTGCCAATAAAAGGCACAAATCATTAATCATGATATGTATGCAAAAGAGTGGTCCTCAAAAACATTTATTTCAAACTCTGAACGATTAAGTTATTTGAAGTCAATTGATAAAAATTGTTGAAATTTTCTCGATAGAAAGGGTGCGTTTATTAATAGGTCTTTAGAGCTAATAGTGCTGCCGGTGCCGGGGAACGGGATCGGGTTGTGTAGACGGGGAACGACAGCAAATTATGGTAATGACGGTGTCGAAGGGCGAACCAGTTATGTGTTAGTTATGTTTAACTCTTCTCGCTTTACATAACAACAAGTCTATTGAATATAACAAATACAACACTAGCTTTCATGCCTTTCATAGCACAGTGTATGCATACTATGCGACCTTTTTTGCATACAAACCTCATCGCATCGCTTCTCCCCTTTTCTCCCCAACATATTATGAAACACAAACACAACACATACTCTTCCCATACCATACATCCATAGAGCTATTCATACTTTTTGTCGCATCACTCTCACTACCAGTTCTCCCCTTTTGCCTCCTTTTATATATTTGATAGCGAGTTAAACAGCCGTTTAAAGCGCTTCGTCTTTATCGCGGTTTGTTATACAGGAATCACTTTTTCCACCCTTTTATCACTTCCATCACATGAACACCACTACCAATACTATTATCCCTCGTATTGCAGGAAGTGCTAAAAGGATTGACTCAAAATAGGCAGCTTAGGAGTCAGCTCCGGCACAGTTTATGCAAACAAACCCCTTTAGAAATGACAAATTGAATTTATTTATTACTTTTCAATACAATACGCACTGCTTTCTGTTTGAAATGACTGCAAATATTATATAATTTATTCATTCATCTGATCGACAAATACGATAATGAGATTAAAATGATTTTATTATATAGTGTTTAACCCTTTCTAATGGTTTATAAATAGTATAGAGAAATGAACTCTTGATTTACTGTACACTTAATGATATCAATAAATAGCTGAAATGTTTTCTGTGTTATAATACAATTGAATAGAAATCTTGTTTTCTTACATAACAGTAAAAGTGAAGAAAAATAAATTAATAAAATAAGTCACATATACTGGTAATGCCTTTTTGTGTGCATTAAATTGAGGTTTAAGTAAAATATGGTCTCTATTAAAATGGAAAATTCATTTTCGTTAGAAAAGTGATGCAAAAGCTTTGTTTTTAGTTAATAGTCTGTATTATCGCACATACATTTGCAGTCACTTTTTTTAGATGACCAGCGCTTGGTATACATACAGACCATCCACGCGAATGTTGGTTCCCGTGAGACAATGAGCACAGGGCGACACGACATCCTTTCATTATATGCTCAGTTCGTACACCAATTAAATGATATTAATGTTGTGCCGCATATGTGTGCCCAACAACACTACATTTAAATCCTATTTTTTATCAGACCTCTCTCTCTCTCTCTCTCTCTCTCTCTCTCTCTCTCTCTCTCTCTCTCTCTCTCCATTACCTCTCCTGCCGGTTGTAGCACTGGTTGGCTATCTGTGCGGTCGTAAAATGAATAAAAACAAAATAATGTCCGTTCAAACTGTAAGGCACGCACTTTAACTACAGTATGACTTTATCATATCATTAATATATTACAAAACGCAAAATAAATGCATTTCATTAATAGACAAATATATGTTTTTAATATATTGTATTATTATGAATGCGAGTCCAGACAGAAAGCAATGTCCCTCTCCTCCCCCTTCACTCCTAATTGTTTCAGAGCCTAACAGTAATAGTAAGTAATGTTTGCTATTAATTAAGTGACAGAAACTAATGCATTGCATGTGTTATAAATCAATTAAATGTCTGTTTTTTGTCCGAAAACGACAAATGAATTAATGAGTATTTATGAGAAACATAATCCGAGTGCAGATCACCAATTGAATGTTTTCCTAATGAATATATTATTTGTTTGTTTTATTTATAAATAAATATTTGATCAAAAAACAATGAAATGGAAAAATAAGAAAAATAGCAAATGGCAACTGAAGTCTCAAAAATAATTTGTAAGATTTCTATACTTAGGGATTATAAGCTCGCGATTGATATTTGAGTTGTGAATCAATAGTTTTCGTGCATTTTATACATGATTTTCATTCATTTTCATCATTTTTACATTTTTAGAGCCAAAGCGTATAAAAAAGAGAGAAAAGTAGTAAAAAGTTTTTGTGCGATAATAGAGGAGTAAAGGAATGAAGCAAATAGTCTGTCGGCTAACGAGCTCTAACATGAAAGACACATTTTTGGCGATATTTTAAACGGATCATTGCTTTGCCTGTGCTTATGATGCAAAAGCTATAGAGTATATATGCATTCAATCTCTGTCTTCCCAAAGAGCTCATTCCAGTCTTTCCAACTCCAGTGCCCCTCCATTTAGTACAACACTTACTGCAGTAGAAAAATTATATTCAAAAACTCATTTTCAATGTCTATATAATACTAAAACAAATTTACATCAAATGCCTACCAGTGCTGCTCTACTGATACTTACTCTAAGTGAATGGGAGATAAAAGAGATGAGCAGAGAGAGAGAGAGAGAGAGAGAGAGAGATGCAGATTTGGATGGACTGAGTATCACATGGAAGCACACAAATGCACTTTCGATCAAACTATTGTAGAGAGAGAGAGAGAGAGAGAGAGAGAGAGAGAGAGAGAAGTGGGGAGAGGTACGGGGATCTTAATTATTGAGATATTAAAAAATTGATTTTATAGTCAGAATAAACAGCTAACGGGGCGTTACATGAATGCGCGCTCCACTAAATTAAACCCTTTCTATTAGAAAAACCAAATGAAAAGGGTATGAGTGGAAAGGGAGGAGACCGAACATTTTCATTAACATAATGTATGATCAAAGAAATGCACTTTCATTAGTATTGCACCCTTTAGTAGAGGCATCGTATCCTTTCCGTAGAGTAGAGCGCTGTTAGGCAGAGAGAGTCCACACTTGGATTCATTGTATTATTAATATTAGAGAATCGCATAGAATATGGATTGAGGGGAACAGTAGGCATAGTTAGTGGCCATTGAGCGCATGATTAGTCGATTCAGATTTTACATTCATTCTCTCATTCTTTGATTCTTTAAAATCTTATTTCACATCAAAAACACTGTCTCTTCCCATGCCTTAAGAAAGAGTACGTGTTTTCACTTAACAATCCAATAATGGATCACAACTATTGAGGACATGTATTCAAGATATTGAAATTGTATATAAAAATAAAACAAACACTAAAACAGAAATATATCTTTAAAATGGATGGGAATTATGCGCTCAAAGAAAAGAAAATAACAAATAAAGACAATTAAAACAATACCTTCAAATGGCGGCACTGGTGGTAGCGCTCGTCCATATAAGCCATGGATATGTGTATTAGTGGTCAGAATTCTCGTACAAACGCTCAAAAATATCTGAAATAGTGTTTGAGAGCAGACTTTGCAACTCGTCTTCTGGCGGAGAATGTATTCAATGCTCTCCAGCATTGCGTTAGTTTCTCTCTCTCTCTCTCTCTCTCTCTCTCTCTCTCTCTCTCGCTCTCTCTCGCTCTCTTCTCCTCCTTCTCTCTCTCCACATTTATTATATGTAAGGCTGAGCCGCACACTCCATACTCCACACTCACTCTCTCGTCAAACAATCTCTCTTTTCTCGGTCTGACATAAACAACATTGTGTGTCAGTATTGAGAGGACCCGCACTCGAATTGGCACTAAAATTTAGATCGAGAGCTAAACTAAGTCACAAAAATCAATAAATATCAGCAATAGTTTGATCGAAAGTGCATTTGTGTGCTTCCATGTGATACTCAGTCCATCCAAATCTGCATCTCTTCTCTCATTCAAAACATTACAATAGATTTTATTTCACAAACATTTCGATTCTTTGCATTCTTGTGTATATTATCCATACATTCGTTGAATTGCTTTAAACACTTTATATTTTGCATACATATCTATTATTATTACAAATTTACCATGTTAATTAATTTTTAAAAAATAGTTTTAAAAATATAGATTCCTAAATATAATCTTTATATACTTTATATGAATAACCATTTGCAATTAAAATAATTAATTTATTCATGTAAGTTATTAATTAAGTTTTTAATTTTAATTAAAAGCTAACATTGCATGAAAATATAATTAACAAATAGTTTTAATGGATTAATAACTTTGCTGTAAATGTTGAAACACTATAATTAAATTCAATGAATATCAAATGAATTAATTAAGGAAATAATTTGAATTTTACGTGATTTAAACATTAGATTTATTTATAATAAAAGTTGCCTATTGATAGAAATATATTATTTGATTACTTGATTGAGTTTGCTTTTGGTTATCGTTGCAAATACTTTAATTT